GTGTACGTGCGTGTACGTGCGTGCACGTGCGTGTACCCGCGTGTACGTGCGTGTACCCGCGTGTACGTGCGTGTACCCCCTCTGTGCGTGCCTGCCTGAGCAGCCATTGTTTACAAAATTGCCTAGCTTAGCCTCGTTTTCGTGCGATGACCCCAGGTTATGAATAATATTTAGACTGGTCTCTACGCCCGAGAAATTTACTCGCGTTGTTTATACAAAATACAACACGCAGACCCCCCCCCCCCCTCTTACTGTAATCACAGATACTTCTGCTCTGTTGAAGAATCACAATGAAGCGTCCTTGCGTATAGTTGAATGGGCGCCGCTGCGATATCACTTGAATCCGTGTGCTTTAAACGCTGGAAAAACGGCATATCGCGAAGTGATGAAGAGCGATTCCGATCACTTTGTTCGCAGAAAACAACCCGACATGATAAACTAACACTCGGTTGCAGGCAGTAATTTCCCGGCCTCTCATCTCCGTATTAATGAGTTCACACTTCAGTTTGAGCACATCGATCGAGCCTAGATGAACACATGTTGACGTAGCTCTAACCGTGACTCGTCTAGGCTCCTTGATCATTACAAAAACAAAACTTGATGTGTAGCAATCAAGCACTCTGCTCTGGTTTTGCGTAAAGCTTGCCAAAGGACAAAACGTGAAGCATTTTTGCATACTTATCGTGACAGACTTGACAGTCACTAATGGTTTAGTTCATTCATATTCATTGCCCGCATTTTACAATCCATATCATTTAACCGCATCAGCTTATTTTTTTTACTTATTTACCATCGCCGTTCTCCCGTTGCCCGAACGTATAGCACGGTTTTTCTTAACTTTGAAAGGGGAATTCATCTATCGATAGGTAAAAGGTTTGCGAAATGTGCATGAATTTCCATTGCGTATAAATGATTTTTGACGAAAAATTTCGATTTCGATTAAATACGCATGCTAAACTACTGCACGGAAAGAATATAAACGTGGAGCGTAAGCGCTCTTGCAGTATATTAATTGTAAGAAGTCATATTCGTTCGTATATTCGACTTCTTTTGACCTGTTTAAGAATGATTGCAAACTCAATGTACAGTAAATTCAAATTCACTCGCGATCATTATATGCCGAGTTGATCAGTTCAGGGAAGGGCTGTGTGAGGTATTCATTATATATTCCTGTGCAGATTCTCGTGGTAAATAGCTGCATCGATGGTTGTCGTGTCCTCTTGTGTATAATAATATAGGTGGCTAGTAATATGACTTTGGCGGTTAATGTTCTGTGTGATTATTGTCTAGAGGTTCCTTGGGCCTAGTGGTTGACGGCAACTCACCCTCGCTTCAATAACATGTGATATACGCTTTGAGTGACTGATTTTCATTTGGTTACCACACGTTGTTATATATATATATATATATATATATATATATATATATTAGTGTCTGTTTAGTCTATCTCCGCTGTTTACGCCGCTTTCTTGACATCACCTGGAAATACAAGGTCACAAATGCTGAAGTCCTCTTCAAAACAAACCTACCAAGCATTCTAGCACTCATCAAGCAAAGGCGCCTTAGATGGTTCGGACATGTGCATAGGATGGAAAATGCACCCCAAGGACATTCTTATTGGGGAAATAGCCGGCGCTAAGAGGTCAAGAGGGCGCCCAAAGCCCAGGTACAAGGACGTATGCAATCGAGACATAAAATCCCTAAACATCAATGAAGACACGTTGGAAGCTGAAGCTGCAACCCGGGTCACATGGCGGCTTAAGCTTTGGGCTGGAATTAACCATCATGATGCAGAATGGCTGAAGCAGCTCCAAGACAGACGAGGTCGCCGCAAGCAGCGCCAACCCACAGCCCCTGGGGAAGTCCACGCCAACCTGTTTGCATGCGGCAATTGTGGACGGCTCTGGCGGTCCAGAATAGGCCTGTACAGCCACCAACGGAAGTGCAGCATGAACGACTGAATAGCCTCACCAGATATGACATGTTGCTGCATATCCACCATCTTACGTAGATGAACGGATCCCAGAAAAATGTATTATATATATATGTGTGTGTGTGTGTGTGTGTGTGTGTGTGTGTGTGTGTGTGTGTGTGTGTGCGTGCGTGTGTGCGTGCGTGCGGGCGGGCGGGCGGGCGTGCGTGGTGAGAAAAGAAAGGAGCAAGAGAAAAATAAAATGCGTGTGTGTGAGAGAGAGGACGAGAGAAAGACAGAGAGAGAGAGAGAGAGAGAGAGAGAGAGAGAGAGAGAGAGAGAAGACGAGAGAGAGAGAGAGAGAGAGAGAGAGAGAGAGAGAGAGAAGAAGATACGAAAGAGGAAAAGAGACAGTATAGAGCGCATCAGTGCTTCACGTTCGCTGCCTAATATCATATATGTCTACAGACAGCGAAGACTAGCATAAGCCCATTAAGTAGCGGAGTGATCCGTGCTCTTGAGTAAGGCCTAAGTAGGTGATTCAGCTGGCATGTGACCTTTGCACTAATAGATTCCGACTCCGAAACCTGGCTCGAATCGTTCTAAAGCGCATTAATTGTGTGTACGCGTGTACGCGTACATTGTGTGTGACGCGAGTTGTATATTGCGTTTCGTCACGGAGTTCATTTTTTATATGCATTTCATTTTCATTATTTTTCCGCTTAAGAGGTACGCCGTTTCGCGCGTTGATGCGACGGTGTAATGGTTGTCTAATGAAATTAGAATGGTTGATCGTTGGGTGCAAGTGCGAGGTACGTATAATGGCCTGGGCCATAATATACCTTAAAATGCATTGAGGGACCGTCTGATAGGGACAAACTTGGTATGCGCGAATCAGGTTCTCATAATCAGATATGCTCATGGGCGACATCCATGAAGTCTCTAACAATCGGGTGGTGATAGTCGCTCCCGTCAACCCTACCTTGTTCTGCGGCTTTTGCGACTATTCGTCAGTGAGCTACCTAAGTGACCGAACTCGAGGGCGTTGAACATTGCTGATAATTTATCGTTGACCGTGAAGTTCGGCACGACGTCTTCTAACAGTCTGCTGAATTAGCTGCTAGTACTGACGGATAGAAAAGTGCGCGGCGTGTATTCCTGCTACAAGCATAAATGCAATGAGCAGGTCACGTACGCCAAGCAAACATTTGCACCATCTGAAAGACCATTCACTAGAACCTTTTTTATTCTGATAAACACACATAGACAGATTTTTCAAGGACACATAGGCCTACTGTGGTAGGCAGGGGCGTAAATCCCGGGGGAGATGGAAGATGCATCCCTCCCCCCGCTCTTGAAGGAGGGGGGATGGCCTGTACAAATATCCCCCCCTAAGATTCAAAAAAAAAAAAAGAAAGAAGAAGAAGAAAAAAGAAAGAAACGTGATTGTTTCAATTTCAGCATAATGCATGAGAAAGGAGTTTTTTTAATGTATGTATAACTAACTGTATAGCCTACAGTACAATTCAGTGTTAATCATGGCTATTGCATGTTATGCAAGACAGACTTTCAAGTGGGGCACGGAGGAAGGAGTGACTGCCAGAGGCATATATAGTCTTTCAAAAGCATAAGTGCTATGCGGGTGCAGTGGAATCTACACCCAATATATCAAGCTTCTTTGCAGCAGATAGAGAATTGTCTGTCTTGACGCAGAAGATTTACGGATTATTTAATTGAAAACAATGTGCCTTTGAGGGTGGCAGACCATGCAAATGAACTCTTCAAGAAAATGTTTCCAGACTCACAAATAGCCAAAAAGTATGGTTGCAAACATACAAAAACACGTGAAATTGTGAGAAATTGCAATTCTTACCTGTGTTTTAATACATGTATTCTTACTATAGTAACCTAACTGTGTACGCTCTCTGAAAAGTCATGAGAAGTGTTTTGAATCCTAACTTGCAGGGTTGAGTCTAGGGTTGAGATAGTGTCATCAGACATGAGAATATGGCCCACAGTATGCCTCAGATTGCATGAAAATGGCTTAAATATTTCAAAATGTTTTTTTTGGGGGGGGCATGCCCCCAGATCCCCCTAGCACTGGCATGCCTACGGCACGTGTACGATTGTCAATTTGCATGTGCTGGTGCATGTATGTATTGCCATTGATAAACTGTATCTCGCGTGTTTGTGTGTGTGTGTGTGTGTGTGTGTGTGTGTGTGTGTGTGTGTGTGTGTGTGTGTGTGTGTGTGTGTGTGTGTGTGTGTGTGTGTGTGTGTGTATGTGTATGTGTATGTTCGTACGTGCGCGATCGCGCACGTGTGCGTAAATTATTGTGGGCTTGTGGCTTGTGCTCGTGCTAGCTACATACAACTAGTATATGTGATGGCTATCGCCGATCATCCCCCTCACTCCTCGGTACGGATTTACGCCCCTAGTGGTAGGTTTCTTTCGGAGAATTGTCAAGACATGCAGTGAGTACGTAAAAAGCCACACACTCGACGGTGAGTCTAAGTCTGGACTGCTGTTGGACCCTGTGGAGAACGAAGACTTTAGAAAGCAACAACTAAATATGATTTAAAAGCTAGCTGCGAGATGTACCACAGAGACGTACCACAGAGATATAAAAATACCACGGCATTACTTAACTCTATACCGTTTTCATCAACGTGACTGATAGATATCCATGCAAACTGCTTAACCGCTCATAAGAACAGCTTACTCAATTTTGAACTTTTTAATAATAATAGCATTTTCCAGAGGCATTTGCTTTTTAAGTCAGACCCGCTCCAAATAAACTTTTTTGCTATCTCTTAGAGATAAGTTGTCCATATTTTAGATTTGGTAACTTGGTCTATATCAACCCCAACCTTATGCCGTAATATGCTTACTAAACAATAGTCATGTGTTATATTTAACAATTTATGTGAATGTTTATTTTCGACGCACGCCATTTTAGTTGTAAGTCGTGTGAGTGTACATCTGCCGGCTCCCACGTCTGTGTGTGCGCGCATGCGTGCTTGTGCTGGTAGGTGTACCTGGGAGGTGTGTGTGCGTGTGTATGTGCGCCTTTGTGTAGGTATGTGCGCGTTCGTGGGTGCGCGTGCGTTTGTCTGAGCTGTGTGTGTTGTGTGTGTGTGCCTCGTGTGGCTCGTGTGTGCATATGTGGCTATTGTTTGTTCGCACACTCTTGATTGTTGCAATATATTCAGATGGGTTACGTTTTGCGATGTCTTGAGTGATAAATTTACATCGTTTTGAAACAAATGAAATGCGACCACCCACTCATATGCCCATTGTTTACCCGAACGATAAACGCGTCGAGTTATCAGTGACATGCATTGAGTATACATAATATATAGACGACGGCTGCGAAGCTTTTTGTATTTGTAGCTTGAGCACATCACATACAGCCGCAACAGAAAAGTTTACCATAATAAAAAAAACCGATAATCCAGATTTATTCGACTGACGCACTTTGTTGCGGAATGGCTAGCATTTAGCTAGTACAATTAAGCACGCGAGCCGGTGCGTGCATCATTCATGATCCAAAAAGATGCTGTGTCTAGATCTCGCCTGTGGTTGATCTTGCCACCCCTCGTACGTATATTCTACAGGTGCGTGTCCGCCGAACGACATCACATAAATAAATAACCAACCTGTATCTATTTCACATACACGTGTCGAATTTCCTTGCTCTCTGAGAATCACCCGCTCACGGCAGCATTTGACGCCCGTTTTTTCAAGATGTAGCTTTTATCCGTGCCGACGCTAATCCTTCTAGCAATTAATTTACCATGTTCGTTTTGCACTAGAACAAGATTCTAATCGTTTGCGCAGAAACACAGCTTGAACGCTCGAACAGAATAAATATAATATATTTAATATATTATAATATATATTATGCAGACTGTAGTTGTGCTATTTCATATGGATGGCGAACTGTTCCATTTTCTCGTGGTGTTTTCAATGCCTATGATAAGCATTAGTCGTACGTTAGAATCAGAGATCCTACCCTCAAGAATATAATGGGATTAAATTAGGTAGTCTCAATGCATATCGTGCAATGAGCGCAAGCGACCCCTTGTAATGAAAGGCACCGGCGCCACGTCGTCATTTTGTCTACGTTGCTTTATGTGTTTTTCACGGATTCAACATTCGTATATGAAATAGAGGAATTCACATTTATTATACTTATATATATATATATATATATATATATATATATATATATATATATAA